AGGCAGCTCAATGAGAAGTCTTTTCAAGGCAGGTGCTCTGGGCAATTACAGACTCTTTTTAGTTTCGCTTCACTGTGCTAACCAAACCAGAAAATAACAGGACCTGGCATCTGCCTGAAAGCCAATGTGGTGTAATTTGCTTTTTTTGCAAAATGAAAAGAAAGAAAAAAAGAGGGCATACTCTTCACACATACAACTTTATAAGAAGCTAAAGTGCTTTAACACTCTGGAGTGCACTTGTAACTGGGGAAAGTGCAGCAGGTCAGGTGGTTACAAGAGTTTGAAGGTAGTTTCCAGGGATGAAGTATCTTTTATCTTGAAACTTTTCTACTGACCTCTGCCGCTCTGCTGTATAACCTTATTTTCATTTAGCCCAATCCTCAAGAAACAATTGAATTTAAATTCTTTTAAAAAATTATTTACAGGGCAACAAAAACAAAACTAGCTTTTCTAGCTGACTTGGAAAAATTCTCCAACTTGCTATTTTAGACTGCATCGAGCAGTTTTGTTTTCAATTCACTGCAGTTAGCTGTGTAATGAATAATCATTTACATTGAAAATTGTTAGAATGCAATGAGATAAAATGATACATATTTCTATTAACATGATGACCAAGAGAGTAATGTGGATTATTGTAGAGTATATTAAAGAAATGTCCTAGACACTTACTGAATTGACACAAATATACAAATCTGTCCATTTCCATTCACTAATAGAATATTCAGCTATTATTATAATTAAACAATCAGTAATAGACTATAACAATACCCCTCTATATATGAAATGCCCACTGACTGAGGGCAACCTGTGGCAATACAAGCCCATTAAGGACAACAATCAAGGCTCCTTTAAGACCCCTAGCCAACAACTTATTTACTAAAGATTCAAAGCCCCAGCCAAGATTTTACAAATTCATTTCGATCCACCTAGGGTCATTCAGACAGCCAAATCTCAACCTCATTTAATAAATTGAGACACAAATGTGCCCAAAATTGTGACAGAGTGACAGTGGGGGGGCAGGGTGAGAGGGTGACAGTGGGGGGGCAGGGTGATGGGGGTGACAGTGGGTGGGCAGGGTGAGGGGGGTGACAGACTGTGGGGAGGCTGGTTACATACCTTTTTTTTCAGTGCTAGACATTCCCTGGTGGTCCAGTGGGCTGACTCTACAGGTCTGCAACTCTGCTGGCTGGGAGCTGCAGATCAAGTTCTTGAGAGCTCCGATTAGAACGTTGCTGTGGTAACCTGCGGCAATGCTCTGTGAGCTCGCGAGCCCGCCATCACATGGTCTGCAGCTCTGCACTCGGCGGAGCTGTAGACCGGAGGCTCTCCCCGGGCAGACAGAGGAAGGGGCCCAGCGGCATACAGGGCAAGCCGCTAGGCCCCCTCCTGATGTCGGTCGCTCGGTCACTGACCGAGTACCCGACTAATCAGTCTGCCTCAAGGTTTAGAGAGCCGCCTCTGCTGCATATACATTCAGCAGAGGCAGCCCGAGGTGGCACAATGCCGCCACTGTTAAAGTGCTGCCTGGGGCCATTGCCCCAGTCCGTACTATGTATGGGCCGGTCCTGGTTATAGAGCTCACAGCAATGTTTACTGGGAGATTACATAGCTCCCACTAATGTGCAGGATTTTCTGGGAAATTATAGACCCCCCACTAATGCACAGATAAAATAGATTTTGAGAGAGACTAGTGGAAAGGAAAGACCAGAATAAAAGAAACTGGAAATAGAGAATGGTAAAAAAGAAAAATGGTAAAAAATAGAATGACATCAAATGGAATGAGATGTGAAGAGAAAATGAAAATGACACTCTTCATTTTTACATTATACATATATATTAATTACATGTATATTGCATAACAGTTACATAGTTACACAGCTGAAAAGAGACAAGCGTCCATCAAGTTCAGCCTTTCTCACATTTGTTTTTGCTATTGATCCAACATGACCATACATTTATCATATGATACGAATATATACATAGAATATACATATTAAGTACACTGATATCTATGCCTCACACAATATAAACTAAATACATATATATATATATTTATATATATATATATCAGACACACTCATTAAATTTTGCACATTACCTACTTATATCTCAGGGTGTGATACGTAAGATTATATACTAACCACAAATTTATGACCCACAATTGATCATTTATATGGACACTTGGGTATATAGTTTTAGATATGTTGCCAACATCCAGTTAAAGAAACACTTCCAACATCATAACCTCTACAGTGTACTGGACTTGACAGGAGTGCCATGTAGTCCCCATCATAAGTAGTCAAACCATTTTAGAATGGTTGACTTCTTACCTGTAGACTACTCCTACTTCCATTACCTCAGCCAGCTCTCAGAAGCTCTCTGTCTGAGCTAAGCACTGCACTGCATGAGTTAACTCATTGGCTGAATGTAATTAGGTGCAAACTGCACTGCAGGACGTAGCTCAGAAGAACTAATGGAAGCTCCTAAGAAAGAACTTCTGCTTCTCTGGAGGTAGTTAAGTTGTAGAGCTTCACCTGGTGAACCTCAGGTAAGATGCCAGGGCATTCCTATATAATGTTGCTGTGGTGATGGTGTCTTAAGTTATCCTTTAATATTCTTACGTACCGATTACAATATTCAGCTCTAAACCCAAAAATCCCTTTAACCTGTCCCTGACTAAAAGAAAACAAAAAAACTAAAATTTTCACACAAAAGTACATATTTTCTATAAAAGCTATAAAATTATGTTGGATTAGTTTACACTAATCTCTGCTCACCAATCTCTGCTACAGCATGCTACAATATAGTATGAATTTTGAATATTTGCACGTATTGCATTTTGATGTGTGTTTAGTAGATTTAAAATATATGCTACTACAGTAAACACAGTTTTAAAAATGTGCCAATGTGCCCCTTATACACCGTTAAGCTTTTGAGATGCTGAACAGCCAAATTAGATATCTGACAATTTTTGTTCTCAGACTTGGAATTTTGACAGATTGCTTCACTGGACCTATGTCTCATTTCGGGGCATTTAGTGGGTCATCAATTCATGTCACATATTTGGACAGTTTAAAAGCTCACACATTCATATTCCTCCTTAAATACATGTGCAGATGTAGACAGCATAGAGATTCACATATGATGTATTTTGAGCTTTATTAAGGAGATTTTTTTTCACCACGTTTTTTAAAGTTTATGATATTAATATTGTTTTATTATTTAATTATTCATATAGCTTAAGCAAATTCCGTAGTGCTGTACAATGGGTTGACTAACAGACATATAATTGTAACCAGACAAATGGACGCACAGGAACAGAGAACCCTGCTCAATGAGCTTTCGTGCTAGATGGAGTGGAGTATAATGACACAAAGGGTATAAGTATGGATAATGAGATAGGCTGCTAGAAAAGTATTCACTGAGAACTTATTATTTTTGACAGTTGCAGAAGAGGAGTCATGGAGGGAGATGGGAGGGGGGTTGTAAACCTGCCAACAGTTTAAATTATATAATTTCCTGAAGAAGTGTGTTTTCATAGATTTTTTTGAAGGAGTGGACACTTGTTAAAAGTCTTACGGACAAGGAAAGGGAGTACCACAGAAAAGGTGCAGCCCTGGAGAAGTCTTGGAGGCGAGCATCAGATGTGGGAGTACGGACAGAGGATAGACGTAGGTCTTCGGCAGAGTGCAGGGGCCTCGATGGGACATACTTGTGTATTAGAGCATTATGTATGGACTTGAAAGCAAGAATCTTAAATTGAGCCTTATATCTAACTGGGAGCCAATGTAGGGACTGACAGAGGGGGGAGGCGTGTGAGGTGCGGGCGGATAGGAAAATGAGCCTCGCCGCCATATTCATTATAGATTGCAGCGGTGCAATCTGGGAACATGTAAGGCCACTGAGATTGCAGTAGTCAAGGCAAGAAAGAACAACAGCATGGACCAGCACCTTAGCTGCGTCTGGTGTTAAGCTATGGATGCTAGCTATGTTTTTAAAGATGGAAGTGGCAGGATTTGATGAGTGACTGGAAATGAGGGGTGAAGGAGAGGTTGGAGTCAAAGAGAACACCTAGGCAGCAAGCCTGTGAGGTAGAGGTGATGGTGACGCCGTTGACTTGGAGGGAGACAGACACAGGAGTAGCAAAACTTGAGGGAGGAAAGACCAGAAGTTCTGTTTTGGACAGGTTGAGTTTAAGGAAGTGAGAAGCCATCCAGTTGGAAATTGTGGAGAGGAAGTCAGAGACACGAGTCAAGATGGGCGGAGAGAGATCAGGAGAGGACAGGTAGATTTGTGTGTCATCTGCATATAAATGATAATGGAAGCCAAAAGAGCTGATAAGTTTACCAAGGGAGGCAGTGTAGACTGAGAACAATAGGGGACCAAGGACAGAACCTTGGGGAACGCCAATAGAGAGGGGTTAGGGAGAAGAGAGAGAGAAACACTGAAAAAGCGCTGGGAGAGGTAGGAGGAGCACCAGGAGAGAACATTATTTTGTAGACCGAGATTACGGAGAATGAGAAGAAGCTGTTGATGATTAACAGTGTCAAAGGCAGCAGAAATATCAAGGAGAATTAGGATAGAGTAATGGCCGTGATTTGTTGTTGTTTAGTCGTGTCTGACTCTCCATGATCATATGGACCATAGCACGCCAGGTACACCTGTCAGTCACTGCACCTCTGAGCTCCAACAATTTCATGTTCGTGGCTTCACTGACATCATCTATCCATCTCTGTCTCTGTCATCCCCTTCTTCGTGTGCCTTCAATCTTTCCCACCATCAGAGTCTTCTCTAGAGAATCCTGCCTTCTCATTATATGGCCAAAATATTTGAGCTTCAGCCTCATGATCAAAGCTTTCAGTGAACAGTTTGTCTTGATTTCCTGTAGTACGGATTTATTGGATTCTATTGCAATCCAATAGATTCTAAGCAGTTTTCACCAACATCACAGTTCAAAGGCATCAATCCTGCAACGCTAAACCTTCTTTATAGTCCAGCTCTCACATCTGTATGTTACTACTGGGAATACCATAGTTCTTACTATGTGGACCTTTGCTGATAGTGTAATATCTTTGGTTTTTAGTTTTTATCAGCTTGTCAAAGCTTGCCATAGCTTTCCTCCCCAAGAGCAAACGTCTTTTAATTTCATGACTACAGTCACCATCCGAAGAGATCTTGGATCCCAGGAAAATAAAATCTGTCACTTCCTCCACGTCTTCCCCATCTATTTGCCAGGAACTAAGATTGCTGTTTGCCATGATCTTAGTCTTTTTAACGTTGAGCAGCAAGGCAGCTTTTGCACTCTCTTCTTTTACCCTCATCAATAGGTCCTTTAGTTCTTCCTCACTTTCAGCCATCAGAGTAGTATCCTCGGCGTGCCTGAGGTTGTTGATATTTCTTCCAGCAATATTGATTCCGGCTTTGTATTCATCCAGCCCATCCTTATGCATTATGTATTCCGCATATAAGTTGAATAAATAAGGTTACAATATACAAGGGACATCATACAAATAAAAAATAAAGATCGTACAGAATTTCTACTGAATAAAAATATTAGACACAAGGATAGTGAAAAAAGTATGCATGCTGAATTTGCTTTTATAACTAAATATAATTCCCAGGCCAAGAGAATAGAAAAAAATTCTCAATAAACATTGGGCGAGTCTGAAAAAAGATGAAATTTTAGGAAAAGTGATACCTGAAAAACCTGTAGTTATATACAAAAAAGCGGACAATCTAAAAAATCAATTAGCACCTAGTCTTTTACCTAGACAGATAAAAAGTCCCAAAAATTTAATTTTATATATTATAAATATTTTTTACAATCTCAAAAAACTCCGGGTTTCCATAAATGTGGCACGTGTTCTACATGTGTCCACCAAAAAAGGACTGTGTCTTTTACAGGATTTTATACCAATCAGACATATACAATAAAAAAGTTTATATATTGCACATCCACATATGTAATTTATTTATTGCAATGTGGATGTGGTGCTCAATACGTAGGGCGAACCACTAGAGAACTGGAGGGGAGGAAACAAAATGAATGATTTAGCTAAAAAGGAAGCATATTGGATTTATACTTTAAAGACTCTTGGAGTAGGTCTTAACCAAGATATTGATTTGACAGGGCTCCTTTAATATTATTTTACATATTAAGGCCCCTCTGAGCATATTTGTTATTATAGTGTTCTAGTCCCAATTATATAAATGTTGGATTGTTTTTAGGGACCATTTGGTTGTTTGTAACATATCTTTTTTTGTATATTTTTATAATTTTTATTTTATTTTCTGATGTATCTGTGTATTTTTGTACAAAACTATATCTGTACAAATTTATGGTTTTACATTTTTAAATATTGCTATATACTTTACCCACTGTCCTAACTGTTGTTTCTTTTACAGAAATTTTTTTTTTTGTGAAATGGGCATAACTATACAGTTTTTTACATATCTGTATATGGGTAGGTCTATAAGACTTAAAGATTCTTGGCATTACCATTATAATATTGGAAATTATTAATATTAGTGTTTTGGAATTCTTAATTTTTTTTGTGGTTATATATTTATCTTTGTGTTTTTATTGTATGTGTAGGGAAAATATAAGGACCCGATTTTTGGGTCCTTTTTCTCTCTTTTTTGGAGCACTCGGCTGTTGGGATTGTTTGGTCCACGCCGGTATGCGTTCCAAGGTGGAACGCGGAAGTTCTGTATGCTCATATGATTATTATAGACGTCACTGCATGCGTTGCAGGGTGGAACGCGGAAATTTTTGAGCACTTGCGTCAATGAATACAGCCGTCATTACGTCTACCCAATGAGAGACGAATTCAGACAAAACCCGGAAGTAACTAAATTTCACGGACAATTTTGAGTACCACTTACATCCATCAGTATATAAGGAAGCAGTTCCCCTGATTCATTCTATATCCCTGAAGAAGTCTATAAACGACGAAACGCGTTGTATTAAAGACCTGGACATTTGTTTTTCCAGTTTTTATTTGTTTTATTTTATGGATATTTCTTTCTGCTGCTTTTGACTGCTACTCCACTTGCTGTATTAACAGACTTTTCCATACGGTTCCACTTGTTAGTGGAGATATGCTGGCTGACTGCAGTTTGAATGTTAGTGCAATCAGTGCAAATACATATATTTTCTTTTAACAATACTGATTTAAATGTTTTTTTCCCTTTGAGGATCTGGTACTCTGAAAACATCCTTGTTTGCATCGCAAGATCTTTCCAAAGAAAGACACGCACCTTCTTAAGACACCCTGAAAGAAAGGGACATAAGCGCAGATCACCAGTGTTCTTTTTAAGTTCTCTACCTCCGGGATTGAGTTATAATTTTCTCTACATACTTCACTATTGTGTGATTTTTTTTTTGTATCCTCTAGATTTTCTCAAGATCATTCCCTGTTACAGGTTGTATTTTTCATGATATTTGTATGCTACCCCTTTAATCTATACTTTTACTCCTTTGGTGCTGTATAGATTTGCCTTTCTTGTTATATATTATATTGGTGTATGTGAGGTACACTTTTGGGTGTTTAGCATTATCTTCTGTTTTTTTCTGGGGTATTATATAGTACTTTTTTGGTATAATATACTGTAACGAAATCCCTTATTAAACAGACCATGCGAACCAGCCTGTTTGGTTATTTGGATGGTTACAGAGTGATTTAGTGCAAATAGCGAATAAAACGAATGAACTTCCGAATCACCCGACCTCCCACTGAGGTCGTGTGGCGCCTATTAACCACCCAGACTGTTGCGGTTAACCACAGACTAATTGGGGAATAGCTGGTGGTCCGCGTTCGTTTACCGAACACATGGCAATCGCCATTTTGGATATTCGAACGCTCAGCGGTAAATGGCGAGGATTCCCTGGAACTAATTTCGGCGACTTATTTTGTCGAACACCGCTGCTATCTCTTCAAATCCTCGTTCGTACGGTGGAAAAACACACGAATGTCGGAGATACTACTGCATTCGTGCATTGGAAGTATGCGAAAGTGACCGACCCCAGATAGCTACAGTATGGAACTTGTAGTCGGCTACAAGCACATGAACGGCTGGCGAAAGCCAAACTTCAGTCGACGTTTCTGAGAACTGTGTTCGTGGGATCTGAGCGCTATTCGCCTAGAATATGCACTCAGATCCAAGCTATGTGGGGATATGTGGGACTAAAAGTTTATGTTCTATAAAATGAAAGTTATAGATTTTTATGCTGTTTTGCTAAAATGAGAAAAGCCATGTTTCTTTCTACCTGGAGATAATTAATTATACACTAGCGGAGGTTAGAGACTGGGTCAGAGACAGAAAGCCAAAGACGGTGGAGGAGGCAGCAAGGCTGGCAGACGAATTCCATGAGAGCAGATGGATGGATGGAAACCGAGGGTTCCAGGGCCAGCGGCCTGCATCTGGTCCGCCAACTATGCCACAGAGGGTATCACCACCGGGGAGCAACACTATAAGCACGGGATACCAAAAGACCGCTCCAATGTGTTATGGGTGCAAGCAAGTGGGGCACATCAAACCTAATTGCCCACAACGTACTACAGACCGCTGGGGGCAGACACCAGTACCACCGACCAAAGCAGCCGCACACTGTGTGCAAGAGGATTACAACTCTCTGACTCAAGAGACACCCAGTAACAACAGTGAAAATTGGACCACCTTACATGAGGTGAACCCTGTGCAAGCGGCTGGGGATAAGAGGGCACACCACTGCCAGTGGTGGACAAGAGGCTAGAGGACTAAGACAGCGGAGCTACCATTACCTTGGTCCAGCCACATCGGGTCACCCCGACCCAGCAAACAGGACGCACCATTGCCGTAAGGGTGGCTGGAGGGGCAATTCATAAACTGCCAACAGCCCGGGTACACATTGATTGTGGTACGGGGGCCAAGGCTGTGGAAGTGAGCATCATGCCAGATCTGCCAGCAAAAGTGTTGCTGGGGAATGATTTAGGATGCTTGACGTCCCAATTGGCAGATATGGAACAAGCAGGTACCCCTATAGTCCCATTTGTACTAGAGTTGAGGGACTGGCTGCAGGCTCTGACCGAAACAGTTCGGGAGAACCTGCGGGCAACCCAACAACGGCAGAAGTACTGGTATGACAAGGGAGCTAGAGACCGTATATTAGAAGTAGGACAAAAGGTCCTAGTGCTTAAGCCTGTAAAAACAGATAAGTTACAAGCATCCTGGCAGGGCCCCTACACTGTAATAGAGCGGATCGGTGATACCACGTACATTGTGGCAGACTGTTCTGATGGAAGGATCCGGAGGTCCTTCCATGTAAATATGCTCAAGCCATATCTCGAGAGAACAGAGGAGGTCTCCACGGTATGCGCTCCAGCGTATGAGGATAGTGAGGGTATCCCTTTACCGGATAGGCTTCCCCAAGAACCTACAGGGGTAGAACAGGTACAGTTGGGTCCAGAATTAGGTTCCGAGGAGCAAGCTCAGGCTTCCCAACTGTTAAAGGAGTTTGGGGGCATGTTTTCAGCAGCCCCAGGGTATACGACCCTGGCAGTCCACAGAGTGGAGACCCCAGGCCAGTTACCCCTGTGGCAGCAGCCCTACCGAATCCCCGAAGCAATACAGGAAAGCATGTTAAAGGAAATCCAGGACATGTTAGAACTGGGGGTCATAGAACCGTCTCAAAGCCTGTGGGCTTCCCCAGTAGTCCTGGTTCCTAAGAAAGACGGTACCACCAGGTTCTGCGTGGACTACCGCAAACTAAACGATCGGACAGTTACTGACGCATACCCCATGCCCAGAGTAGACGAGCTGCTAAACCGTATGGCTGGGGGGAATTATTTGACCACTATTGATTTGTGTAAGGGATATTGGCAAATCCCCTTGGAGCCTGGGGCCATTCCAAAATCGGCATTTGTCACCCCATTTGGCCTATACCAGTTTAAGGTTATGCCATTTGGGATGAAGAATGCCCCAGCTACGTTCCAAAGGATGGCGGACTGGCTCCTAGAGGGATTTCAGGGCTTCGCTTGTGCTTACTTGGACGATATAGCTATCTTCAGTGGCACTTGGGAAGCCCACCTGGAGCACATCTCAGTAGTGCTCAACTGAATTCAGAATGCAGGGCTCACCTTGAAGCCAGAGAAATGCCACGTAGGTATGTCTGAAGTCCAATATTTAGGCCACAGAGTAGGGTCAGGAAAACAGAGACCAGAGCCAGCTAAGATTGAGGCAATCACCCAGTGGCCCCAACCCTGGACTAAAACACAGGTCATAGCGTTCTTGGGCACCGCAGGTTATTATAGGAAATTTGTAGCTGAATACAGTGCCCTAGCCAAACCCCTGACAGACCTCACCAAAAAGTCCATACCCCGACAAGTAGTCTGGTCCACTGAGTGTGAGGAGGCTTTCCAGAAACTCAAGGCTGTGTTAAGTGCATCTCCTGTGTTGGCGGCACCTGATC